CTATATCAACTACATTGTGTGCTAAGTTTCTTGATCTAAGACTAATTCATATAGCTAGCTATACTAGCTCTGATGCATTACAACTTATCAAATCCAGGATAAAAGTTTCTTATCTTTCTTTTGCTATGTGGGGGATTGTTATAAAATAATAATTATTGTAAAAGAAACATTAGTTTTGAACATTGGCCAACAATTTTTATTTTTTTCATTAATTTTTATAAGTGCACAGTTTTATTTTTTCAATTAAAGTTCATAAGTGCTAACGGTCAGTTTTTATTACTCATCATTATTGCAATGGTAATAGAGTATTTCCTGCATTCCAAAAAAACACACCAAATCAAGCTTTCTATTCTCCTCTCAAAAACAAACTTTTTGCCTCAAGCTACCTTCTTAGTTTTTATTCTTTTACTTTCTTTAGAGTTCCTTGTTATAGTTCTAAGAATGCGAATAAGTCCTTAATAATAATGATTTACACATCTCGAAAAATTTTGTTCATGATGTTATTGTAAAATAATGTGTACTTCGATTAACTTATGAATTTTTGAATCTTGTTATATTTGAACAAATAATTAAAAATTTTAGTTTTCATCAATCTTATACAGTGATATATAAAATAAATAAAAAATAAAATTTACTACATCTTAGTACATCGGGGTGTTACAGGATTTTGAGAAATATAAGAATTAAATTTATATATTATTTAGAAATTAAAAATAATATTAATTTATATATACTAAAAATTGAATATAATTAATATGTATCAGTTGACTAATGTTGAATTTTTTATCACAAAATTTAGAGCACTTTAATATCTTTAATTTCATAAACGATAATGAAAATCATACATCATCTTCTGTTTAAAGATAACTTCTTGTGTTAGATGTTCAATGATAAGAGAATAAAATTTAAAAATGACTTTGATTTGTTTAGTTTTGAGGGACTCATGTGATCTTAGGAATTGATTTATTTGTAATTACAGTTTCAAATATTATGGTCAGAAGATGTTATTTGTTTAATTTATTAAAAGAAAGTAAAGTTAATATGAATTGAACAAGTATTGAGTGAAATGAAGGATAATGCAAGTTGTGCTGTGATTCTAACTTGTACGGAAGCAAGTAGTAGAGGTAAGAGTAGTATAGTCCTTGTGATGTTAGACTCTACTATAACAATTATCCTAGATGAAGTTTAAGGTTACAACCAAAAAGGGAAATTAAGTTTTCTATTGATTTCGTTTCAAAGACAAAATCAATATCAGTGACTCATAATTATTGGATGGTTTCAATTATGTTTTTGGAGTTAAAGAAACAAGTTAATATGAATCAATTATTCTATTTTAATGCCCAACAATATCATTATATTCGATATGTGGTTTAATATTTCTATTATATGAATTTAAATTTTGTATTTAAAACGTTCAAAGATAACCCTTTTTTTTTTAATTTAAGCACCGTGTAAGGCAACTGATTTTAATTTGCATATAGAAAAAAATTACTTTTATTTTTACTCATATTTCATGATGGTGGAATTATATACAGTAATTTTTCCAATCCTATCTATATCCTTTAATATCGTTAAATTTTTTAATAAAAGAGTTTTATTAAAATTTAAGCATGTGTCTTTTTGTAAAAGAAAAGGACTTATTTTAAATGTATATATTTAAAACATACACACAACAATTATACAATATAAATAATATAGTTAAAATCTGGGGAAGCAAGTAAGTCATTGGTTTAATTGAATGAAGTGAAAATCAGACCATCGGTTTTGAATGTTAAATCAATTGATCGATGGATAGAAGAAAGTCTGAAAGCCGTTAACTGAAGGAAGAACCAGAGGTGATGTGTGTTTATGGCTGATTAAGCTAATTTGGGACCATATGTTGGAAACTAATCATGTTTCAAATATCAGAAATAGATTCACCAAAACATAACAAACAACAGAAAAAAATAACACTAAATTTTAATGTATCTTTTACTTTTGTGGGAAAAAAAAAACATAAGAATCTTAAAAATGTAAACCTAGGCACACCTCCCAACTATTTTGTTAGAGATGAAAAAGTTAATTGCAAGAAGTTGGTCCAGTAAAATAAGACATCAATTGGGAGACACAAGAAGACAAATAAGTGAAATAAAGAAAAAGAGAGAGATAGATAAAATAAAAATAAGTGAAAAAAAAAGAATCTAACTACCAATCCAACTTGAACAGGAATAATAACTCATGTTCTTAAAAGGTGTTTTTCTTTTTTCATGAACATGATGTTTGTTAGATCAAATCTATTACTCTCTAATACGTTGGGAATGTATTATTAAAATTAATTATCATATATAAAGTATTTTTTATTTTATTGTTATAATTTTGCTTGTAAAAAATCATGGAAAGATTGAGAAAAAATAATCTTTTTTATTTTAATGTTTAAACTATATGAACTATTAAATGTAGTTGATACATATAAGATTGATGTTAGAGAGATTCATAAAGTTTTTGTTGAGATGATAGGTTGTTGGAATTTTTTGAAAAGTTTGTAATAAAAAGATGTTGATTAAAATTAAGAAAGTGAAGAATGATGAGGAAAATTGTAGAATGCATGTACTTTTTTACCATTGATATGGCCAAAATTAAAGTCACACTGTACCATACACCTCAACTGGTCCTCTCTGGCAACTTACGATAGAAGATAGTGCAGTTTGAAAGAGGGAAGTAATTTCCTGATGCCTCTATTTCCTTGTCTCCTTCACACACACCCAACTTTTCCACCATCACCATTCATCAATTGCCTTCAAACATAAGCCAAACTATACACCACTTCTTCCTCCTTTACCTTTACCATCTTTCATATCTCATTACAAAACTCGATTTCTCTTTCACACTGACCCTATGAATTTATATAAGATATTAAAAAAAAATTATTAAATGTAAGACTTCGAATCCATCTTCTATTTTGACATGACATACACACTTAAATCTTATACTCTTCGTCACTTAGAAAAATCCATGCCAACATTTTTCAAAAAACTCTGATAGTTTATTGTTGCACCTTGTTTATGTTGAATTTATTGAAAGAAGAGGTTTACTGGAAAGATCTAATTTTAATAAAACTCAAGTTCAATACTAAGTGATTCACACAATTTTTAATTCAAAACTTAAAAAAAATGAGTTAATACGTGTTTATCATTTTATTTTCTCACTTCTATTCAAAGTAAAACTTAAACTCACTCTTAAATTCCTAACAACTTATTCAATCATGTATTACTTTTCTATATTATGTTTAGAATACTCGTTTATATACACATGTATGAATTGGATATTTACATTTTTATATAAATATGAATTTGTCATTTCTTTTAATCAAGTATAAGAATTTGTTGTAATCCAAAATAGATCAGCATCACAGTAAGCATCAATCAGCATTTACAGCATTCTTAACACAGTCAAACATACATAAAAATAAAATAATGGAGTCAATTTTCATATATATATATATATATATATATATGTATGTATGTATGTATCTATATGTATATTAATGTGTACAGGGTATGTACTGGAGGGCCATATGAAAGGAGGCAGTGGATAAGGCGAGGTGAGAGGAATGTGGTGATAATATATTTATATTATTAAACAGAGTGAATCCACTTTTTGACCAAAAGGTTTATTGATATTTTGATTATATTGGATGGCATGAATGAGGTTTATATTTTTGTGTGTTGTGTTTGATTGTCTAAGGAGATGAGGAACTAAAGTGGTTAACGGGTAGAAATTGACGAAGAAGCATGGGGTGGTTAACTTTTGAGGAAGAGTTGTGTTTTGATGAAATAGTGATAAGATATAATAAAGTTGTAGAAAGAGTAGACGAGGGACGTGAATTTATTGAAAAAGTTGTTAAAAAAACATTTTCCAAAAATAAAATGGTTGGAAGAACAGAGGTGACGTAAGTGTAGATTGGCACTTGAGTGTCATGGCTCATTTTATGCATTAGAAAAATGGGTAGGAAAAGGACAAAGAAGAGGAGCTCGGGTAGGGTAGGAAGAGCAGGAAAATATTTTCACTCTGGGTGGAATATGTACTCTTTTGATGAAAAGCATAGCACTGATTTCTTGCTGGAAATGATTTGGAAATAAAAAAAAATGTAAAAAAGAAAAGAAGTTGTTAGCTGGTAATGGAAATTGCATGAAAGAAGAGGCATAATAGGTTGTGTTTGAATAGAGTTGAATTGAAGTGGATGACATAGGTGAAAAGAGAGATAGGGGTGGAAGTGACGCAAAGGATAATGGGTGATGCGAAAGAGCTTCGTCCTAATACACGATACCTGTTGGTGGGTTAGGTAGCAAACCCTGCCCCTCCTCATTGGACCCATCCCCTAGATTCCTGCCCTTTCTCCCTTTCCTTTTCTCTCTCTCTCACACAAAAAACACAATCCATTTTGGACATAAAGTTATAGCCAACTCACTTCTCTTTTTTCTTAAGTAACCTCTTCCCTTCACAAAATTTAACACAACTTACAAATATCACCTCACCATGTAAAGTTTCTTTTCCCTCTCAGTCACAACACTTTCCTCTTCCTATGTCTTTTTTTTATCACCTTTTATTAATCTAATCATCGTCTCCATTTCCCACTTCCATTAAACAATAACTTAATCATATCTCAATCTCTACCTCCAATGCCAATTTCCCAATTCCATCATTATGTTTTGTGAAAAAACAACCCCCTCTTCTTGTCTCCTGAGTCAGAAACTAGTTTATCATTTGCAAAATAATTACATTTTAAGACCTTACTTACATTACATTGGAATAACAGTACTCAACAAGTTCAGCCAGAGAACCAAGTTTTCCTTTCTCATCACTATTTTTTTCTTTATTCTTTTCTCATCTACACCAAACATCCTTTCACATTTAATATACTTCATCTTTTTCCCCCACAAATGCTTAACTAATTGTTTTTCCTTTTTCATCTACACATTAAATTGGAGTTCTTTATACCAATAGTTTACTAGCAAAATCAAATGAAATAAAAATAAAAACCCTCTGATATATTTGGAAGTTAATGTGTAGAACTATATAGTCTATAGATTCAAACATCTCTCTCTACCTCTCTCTCTCTCTCTCTCTCTCTCTCTCTCTCTCTCTCTCTCTCTTTCTCTTTCTCTTTCTGTGTCTCTCCCCTCCTCCCTCTTCCCTCTCCCTCCTAACCCCATTTCCTTTCAAATAGTAGCACTAGAGAACAAAAACTCTAGCTAGCACTGATAATGTATATACAAGCCATCATTCGGAAGAATTAGTCCATTCTCTTTCAAGTGAAGAACTTGTTTAGTTTGCTCCAAAAAATATTGTCAGAGGATGTGGTGCAGTAATCCTTTGTCATTTCTTGTTTAACCTTGTATCATATGCAATCTTCTCTTATTCTATCAGAGTGGCGATCACACTATCTATCATTCAGCTGATCTTCAAGATTTTGTGGCAGGCCTAAAACCTGCAATGAGATGGCTTTCTTCCCAGCAAATTTCATGCTCCAAACCCCTCACCATGATGATCATCAACCTCCACCTTCGCTCACGTCAATTCTACCCGCCTGCACACCTCAAGAATATCATGGTACACTCTCTCTATCACTAACAATCATACAAACACAAGCACACACACTCAAATATCATGTTTCTGATATCCTGTTCTGAATGTTGATGCAGGGGGAGTGACCTTTCTGGGTAAGAGATCCATGTCATTTTCATCAGGAATTGAGCACGGAGAAGAGGCCAATGCTGAGGAAGATTTGTCCGATGATGGATCACAGGCAGGGGAGAAGAAGAGGAGGCTTAACATGGAACAGGTGAAGACACTTGAGAAGAGCTTTGAGTTGGGTAATAAGCTTGAGCCAGAGAGGAAAATGCAACTTGCAAGAGCTCTTGGCTTGCAGCCAAGACAAATTGCTATATGGTTCCAGAACAGAAGGGCAAGGTGGAAGACCAAGCAGTTGGAGAAAGACTACGATCTTCTCAAAAGACAGTATGAAGCCGTCAAGTCAGATAATGATTCGCTTCAAACTCAGAACCAAAAACTTCAGGCTGAGGTTAATAGTTACCTTCTAACTCAATCAAATTCCAATCATTTAGTTCTGTAGCAGTGTAGTCTCCTTCCTTCCTGTTTACTTTCACATCATCTTTTGCTTTTCAACTTTTCTTTTCCTTGAGGAAAAGTGAAAACTACAATAAAAGATGAAGCCTCTTTTGACATGTTGAATTTCTTCTTTCTGAGACTATTTTTGATGAGATTGTTTTGATTCTGTGGAATAAAGCTTTGTGGTAGTAATGATGATCCTTTTTCATTTCACAAGTGTTTATGTTTTTTTGACTAGTGTATAGTTTTCAGAACCGTTCCTTTCACCTCTTCTCTTACTAGTGACTTTCTATAAAGTTGTTTCTTTTTTCCTTTCATCTACAGTGACTGGTTCAAGATTCAATGATCCATCTTCTCTCCATTGACATCTTCCATTCTCTCTCTTGCACACTTCTTCACTGGTTAAGCTTTTTCATTTTTCATCATACCATATTCTAGTTTCCAGAGGTTTAACAAAATTGTTTTTATTTGAAGGCGCAGGGGTGGTGTTGGTGTTGGTGTTGGTGTTGGTGTTGGTGTTTTAGCCTTTTAGGTCCAACTCTTGTGCATGCATATTGTTTGTTGTATCGTCTTATTGGATTAGGTAATTTTTGTGGTGCAGATATTGGCACTGAAAAGTAGAGAGCCAACTGAATCCATCAACCTTAACAAAGAAACAGAAGGATCCTGCAGCAACAGAAGTGAGAACAGCTCAGACATCAAGTTGGATATCTCAAGGACACCAGCTATTGACAGTCCTCTCTCTACACATCAGCCGAGCAGAACCCTGTTTCCATCTTCTGCTAGGCCTGCAGGAGTTGCTCAGCTTTTCCAAACTTCTTCAAGACCAGACCTTCCATGCCAAAAGATTGACCAAATGGTCAAAGAAGAAAGCCTAAGCAACATGTTCTGTGCCATGGATGATCAATCCGGGTTTTGGCCATGGTTGGAGCAGCAGCATTTCAATTGAAACAAAGGAAGAGTTAATTAATTTAAAATTTCAATGTACTACTTTTTCCCTGTGAAATCAAGAGGGTCTTCATCCATCAATTACCACACTTGATTATGAGTTCTTTAAATTAAAACCCATGTTTTGAAACTTGGTGTATAAAATAGAATTAATATATCAAGTAGAAATTTTCAATCTGGCCGGGCTTGAAAAATTTTCTATGAATGAATGAATAAAGGGCAATTAGTCACTTTTCCCCCCCTAAGCTGGTTACTGTAACAATCTTTCTTGAAACTCTGAGTAATGGTATCTGGTTGAGTTAATTAATGGGAAATGAGAAACTAAAACCGTTGCTGCAAGTGCCTGATGAGTGCAGGCAACATGGCGTGTAACATTAAAATAAGGAGAGATTCTCATTCTCTCTTACACTTAACTTCATAAACTCATTATTTTAGCTTGCTTTGGAATCACACAAGCGTATATTCTAGAGAAAGAAAATGTTTGCCATTTCTCTGAAGAAAGAAGACCCTGCGATGATGTGAGCTGATCTCATCAATCAGTGCCCACAATGAACCAAATCCACCCGAACTTAACAAAGTGGGCATAAAAAAAGAAAGAATCAAACACAAATTCCAAGAAGGGAAGAAGACAAGCATAAGGAAGAGTGGAAGAAAACAAAGAGAGTTGGAAATAGTCATTCTCGTGAATGAGATATTGTCGATTTTGTTGTTCATGGCAACATAGGAAAAGGGGGATCGGTATCGTATGAAAAAGTTTAGCTACTTACTATAATAAAAACTTCATTCATGTAAACTATGTAAACCATGTTTAACAAATCTTTTTATAGTTCTTTAAATGTTACTCAGAATGTGTTAAATAAAACGTGGGTGACAAAGAGTAAATAAAGAATTTTTGGGATATGGAGCACAATTGGGGATTTGGCCGTACCCACTTTTAATTTTTGGCACTGATCAATCAGAGAATTAATTCATCACTGCACCATTTTTAGGGTTTAATGGAAGAGTTCATGTGAGATCACTGTCACCCACTCTCTATCATCCATCTAGGTGCGTTTTCACACCTCACTTTCAACTCACCTCTTTACTTGTACATTTTATTTTCCTCTATATGGATCACATGCCAGTGTTGACAGTGGTCAAAATTGCACCCTAAAGTTTAAACCATAAAATAAATTGTCACAATCTACCAGTCAAATTTGCATCACGTCATTCCATGCATAGTAATACTAGTAGGAAACTTTAGCTCAGGTGAATATGTACATGCAGATATAATGTAAATTTCCCTTGCTTCTATTTTTTTTTTTTCATTAATCATACGATATGTTGTTTTCAGTTTTGCTTGTGGAGACCATCAACATCATCATAATAATGTCTATCAGAAATGAATGTTGTCACTGTCATAGATGTATTAACTTCTTCCCCTTCCAGCACGCTTCTTGCAACATTTTTCTAATGGCTTGCTGTCAAATTGATAAACGCTATAGCACCTACCCTGACTCATTCTTTTCTTTTCTAGTATGAATGAGTTGTTCCCTAACTTGCTAAATTTCATGCAAGGATGCTTCCCTTTCTGTTTGTCGGGCAATTAATTCTCGATTTTTTCTGTCATTTTACTCACCACCACATTTCCCTTTTTAATGTCTAACTTTTCAATCATCTCACAAATCTACACCTAATTCTACTCCAATCAGCACCATTTAAAAATTTTTCATCATTCAAATTAATGTATTAAGTGTTCAAGGAAATTTTATTATAAGTAAAAATACTTTTGAGAGAATGAAGTAAAAACAATACGTTTAATAGAGAATATTATATATCACAAACAGTTTTTATCTATTTGCAGCTAGTTAAACTTGGTTTCCAAGAAATCTTCCAAAGATAGTTGTCAACCAATTTAGAGGGGTTTTAATGATGTGAAGAGGAATTGAACTCGCATTACGAAAAAACAACAATTAACATAGAATCCTTCATCACTTAGATATACCCACATTAATTGAATTGACTTCAAATTTTATAAAACCATATATAATTCAAGACTTTTAAATAACAACTATGTTAAAATTAGAGAGTGACATGTGAAGTCATTTTATATATCATTTTATTTATTAATTTATTTTTAAAATAGACCTAAATATAATTTCATAAAAAAAAGTTTTTAGAACCCATTAGGGAATCTTTCTCCATATTGGTCATTGTCTTCTTCAATTTGTTTTAAGAGACTCCTTTCTTCTGTGCTTGTTCTTGGATCTCGGGACCTTCCACTTAGACACAGACCACCACGCCTCCAGGACCTATCTAAGCTAGCTCCAATCCTTAGCTTCGATGATCATCATCGCCGACTTCTCTTGGTCCTTCAAATTGAGATGAAGTTGTTGGAAGTGCAAGTCTGGTTAGTGAAGACTTTGAATAAAGCATGAAGTGCTTCCCAAATCCAAGACAACAACATAAAAGTTTGTTGGAGATTCCACGTCGATTAGGATAAAAAGATCTCATAACATATGAGTCGATGTAAACATTACTTTTCAAGCCGATTTTATAGGAAGTTAAATTTAAAATCTACTTTTTAACATGATATCAAAATAATTGATTTAAGCTTAAGTAAGATTTGTCATTTGTAGAACATATTGTGTCACCTTTTATTAGACCGCTAACCACTTATTAATATTTAGTCTCATCTTCAAAATATATATGTCTCGATGTGAGAGAATGTGTTAAAAATCTTACATCAATTAAAAATAAAACGATTTCATAATATATAAGTAAATGTAAATATTTTAAACTAATATTAACAAATTAAATTTATAACCTTATTAAAAATAAATAAATAAATATTTTAAATGACACTGTATAAATAGAGTCACATAAAAAAGTGTTTTAAAAATTCTTTTAAAAAGGATAATTATACATATAATTTATGAAAAAGGTTTAAGAAATTGAAGGGAAAGATTTTCTCAACTTTTGATTTCCTTAAACTTTGGTTACTCTATCAAACTTTGAATTCAATTATTGCTTGATTTTTCACAATAAGTGGCCAAAAGTACTAGTTGCCTCACTTTACAATTTATGTTTTTCTTATTTTCTATGAATATTGATGCATAAAATTATTAATTGTAAACATGGATTAGTATGAACACTTCTCTAGAAAGAAGGCAATTTTATATAGCAATCAGAAGAATGGATTGGCTTTCATTTTCAATGAAAGAGGAGGCATATCTATATATCTGATATTAGGTTTCATGTTCAGCTATTTATCCATATACCAGTAAGACAGTAGTGGTCGATAATTAATGAATGATAATAAATAAGACACATTCTTAATTGAAACACCATTGCTTTGAAGCAATTGCTTCGCCTGAAAGGCACAACTTCTTGCAATTTTGGAAAGTTATGTATAAACTTCCAATTATGTTATTGTCATATATGGAACCTGAATAAGACCCTAATCTTACGCACACCTTCATTGTAAATACATCATATACGTAAGTATCCATTTCTCTATTAAACAATACATGTGATACAATCTGCCTTGCCTCCAATATCTACTATATATTTATATATATTAATATTATAGTATTGCGCTGTTATATGTATGGGATCATGTGAACTTGGCTTAAAATAATCACCCAATGGCTGAAAGTTTTGGCATTTGATGACAGTTTCAGAAACCAACTATGATCTTAAGTAATTTTTTTATTTTTTTTCAGTGGAATCATTGGGTGGCCACGTGCTTAGGGGATTCTAACTGGACACGTATATATCATATAAAGGGTTGTTAGGGTTTTCGTAAGAGATGCAGAATATGAGCATTCCCAGCATGTTTGCGATTATAATGTCCATAAAGAGTGTGGAGAACATGTGGTTTCAATATGCAATAATTTTTTAGTTATTGCTTTGTTCTTTAACTTAACAAAGTATTTTTAGTATTTTAATATCATTGTAGATTCTGTCAAACATAATTTTTAAGTAGTTTTTTAGTTCTTCACGGCAACCATACTAGGTTGTCACTAAATTATCCACATCTAGAAATGCAAAAGTTAATTTCATCTAACTTCAATGTTGATGCCGAGTTAGTTTATATATTATCATCGAAAAGTTAAGCAACGTGAAAAGTTTTACATCGATTAGAAATAAGATCAATTTATAATATATAAATAGACGTAAATTTCACTTCACAGCTCAATTTTGTAAGATTTTGTTTTTTTAATAATGTTTTTTTCTGAAAAAAAAAACTCGTAAAGTATATAAGTTAAATGGTTTGGAGTAGTATTATTTATAAAGAAGAGCACCTTGTATTGGAATGAGTTTGTTGTTTGTTGAGATGGAGAAGAGTTGGAAAAAAGGGAAAGACAATGGCATGGAGATATATTGGGTAGGTATGAGAAAAACATTGGATTCTTTTGAGTACCAAAAATGGGAGTAAGTTATAAGCCATTTGGTCTGTCCTAGTGCCTGCACATGCAATTAAGTGGGTTACACTCACCTCTTCTTCATTCTATCTCTTCTATATTAGATAGTTTTCATTCTCACTCACCCAACCATCTTTTTTTTTTCTTTCAACTTTCATCTTTTTCACATTTTTATTTTCATATACGACCATCATACCTTAAAAGTGCTATATTTTTAATAAAAGATCGCTGTATAAGACAACAAGGAAATTGGTTCATAATTATGGAACAAAATGAATTATAAAATATCATTAATGAAGACTACTTCAATCATGTTTTGTACTTTGGTATACACTCAACACATAACACATATATTAAGATGGGCTTGATTATGCAAAGTATTTGAAGGATCATAAGATTTAGGATGAGTCCCATCTACGTTATTGCTTAAATGAATTGTTTTTTTTTTTTTGTTATTATTTTTGTGGGTTTCAGCTTGTCGTGAAACGTTCTCTTCTAAATTTTATGTTTCTTAATGTAGGTAATATTATAAGTTTTTCATTGATCCATGTATTAATATTAAAAAATTATTTTTATTAAAATTATAATTTCTATCATTGGTTATGAATATGTGTTTTGTTTATTAATAATAATCAGAAGAGAACTTTAAAAACGATTGATAATGAAAATAAATTTGATATATTGGTCACATTGTTTTGAAAATTTGACAAAATGAACTGAATTATTCTTTTTTATTTGTATGATTATATTATAAGGACTTGTACTAAAA